CTTTTTTGTACAGATTATTTCTATTTATAGTAATTAGTTTGCTTATTTTTGCTTTTTTTCTTGCAGATCTTTTTATATTTAGTAATTTTGTAAAACCTTATCCTTCTGTATATATTTTGGAGTCCTGTCATATATTTATTAATTATATTTAGCTTTATTATATCAGTTTATTTTTGGTTTATTTTTTATATTTAATTTATCATCATAAAAATCTTCTTATGATAAAAGGCTGATTTAATTAGCTATTAAACAATCTTCTAGCCAATTGTATAATATTTGTTTTTTATATATTGTCTATTAATCGTTTTATTATATTATAAAATTTCAACTTGTGAATTAAAATATTCAACTATTGAGAACAATTAAAAATATGTAATTTGAAGACCTACTAGATGTTTATATTCACTTTTTGAAAAATAATTTGGCTTGTCTAACAATATTAAAAGCTAAAGAATTAAATATTATATTTAAGTTCAGAAATACAGAACTTATAGCTAATAATAAAAAATTTAGAATAGCAAATATTTTCAAAAAGAAATTTGTATCACTAGTAGCAACAATATTCAGAAAACTCAACATTATTTTTCTTAAATAACTTTTAATACAGTTGGAAACTGAATAATAATCTGACAACAACTTAAAACACCTAGACATCTTTTGTGTAAAAGTAAAATTGCAAAATAGTTCTAAGTAATAAAAGAAAAGTATTTAAAAATAAAGAAAGTAGAATTATAAAGCCAGAGTACAAAGTAAAAAACTTCTGCTTCTGAATACTTCAAGTTTTATCAGACCTATTAGAAGTAGATAGAAGAAAGAAAGAATAAGTTTTAATTAAAACATTAGAAACAGCAGAGAATAAAGCTCTAGTAGTTAAATAGATTATTGATAAGTAAAAAAGGTTTCTTACAGAATATTATAAATTTAACTTAGACTCAAAAACAAAAAGCATAAGAATAGAAAGATGTGAAGGCTGCAAACTTAATCAAAAAAAAGAAAAAAACTCTTATAAAAGCTATATAAGTAGAAAAGGAATTCAGAGCTTTGTAACAAGATTTGTTGATAAACAAAAAAAAAAAACTTTGAAGATTAATCAAGAAATAATACAATCAATACAAGTTTCTTCTAATTAAAGATATCTGCAAGTGAGAGATTAGTTCAAGAAATTAAAGTTTATGATTTAGATACAGAAATCATTAAAAAGCAGCAAATTAGCCAGACAATACAGAGCTACCTGATAGAAAAAAAATCAGAAACTATAAGAAAATTTTTTGATCAACTTAGCATAGTCAGATATTTGTCTCAAAGAGGAACTGCCACCAAGGCTCTTTAGAACTAGTTTATCCTTATAGTAAATCTGCTAGAACCTTCTATACCCACAATCTGGCTAACCTAGTCTTTTAGTTGATATGCATAGACCTTAGTCCATCACTTACAGCTAGTTTTTATAGTGGAAGTGTTCTCTGACTGTTTTGTTCTTAATAGTTTTTTGATAACGTTTTAACTAACTATAGCCTAATCTTCACTACACAACCTACTCTTTGCTCTTATAGAGTTTACTCAAACTCAGTACCTCCTTCAAGACAACCTGATATCTTTTCTTTTTAGTATTCTTTATTTGATCTCCCCAGATTACCAATTTAGATAGCCTGGAAGAGATACCAGTCTTTTGATATCTGCATTGCAGATCCTTTTCCTCTGGCATTCTAACAGCCTGGTTGATGAAGTACTTCTCTGAATACCTGATTCTCATCTAGTTATACCAACCTCTGGTGAAGCCTATTTTAGTAGTATTGTCAAAAGTCTTTGTTACTTCTCTATTTGAGACTTGTCAAGCAAACACCCCACTGTTATATCAGCTCTGTAACTTTCTGCGACCCCAAAGGACTTATTAAGAGTTTGTATTGACTAAACTGACTTGTATGCTTTTGTGTAACTTTTTTATTACACAAATGCCTTAGGATCTTCAAATTATTATCTTGGTACAACTACAGTTACAGAGTCTCAAGTTTTCTAAATCTGTTTTTTCCTAAATTCAATTTTCGCCTTCTGTAGGAATTGAACCAGTACTCAACTGCTTGGGGGTGTGACAACTTTACTACTTTATTAAATCGCCATACCCTCAATTTAATTTTATATAAATAGATTTCTAAAGAATAGTAAGAGACAATCTCAGTTAGATTCAGATAAAATAGAAGCAAGCTAGATATTAGTAGATAAAGAAGAAAATGAAGTAATAGACAAAGGATATTTTAGTACAAGAAATTGATCATTTTCAACAAAAGCAAAACTGCTCAAAATCTAGTATGTATTGCTTATTATATCTAACAAAAAAAAATTAAAATCCACACAGACAGTATAGTAATAATAGCAAAGATAGAAAGGAAAAAGCAGAATAGATAGGCAAGACAATAGCTTAAAGAGAAAAATTATAACTTTGTAAAATATATTTTAAATATAGTAAAAATTAAAAAGATATAGTTAGAATTAGAAAAAGTAAAAAATCATAGTAAAAATAAATGGAATAACAGAGCAAACAAGCTAGCAAAATTAAGTTCTAAATTTAGAAAATAAAGATAAAATTATAGAAAACTTCTTAGAAGTCAAGTATCACTTTATATTAGGAAGAAACAGTAGTAAAAACCTTCACAAGAGATTTCCTGCAAATGATCCTAGGTTTTAAGACAGAAATAGAATAGAAATTCTTATTAGCTATAAAAAAGATTGAATCTAAAGATAAAGTGCAGACTCTATATTAACCTATCTTATAAAAGAAGATTAGAAACCAAAGTAGAATAAGATATATATATAAGTTCAAGGAAAAACAAACGTTTAGGTGTTTTAGTCAATGTTTATATGAAAAACTGCTAGTACTGAAAACATTATCAGCTAAAAGACCAGATTTATATAACAATCTAACATATATGATATACAAAAAAAGTAAAGAAGAAGACCAGGAACATCTAACTACATATGAAAAATATGAAGTAAAATAGAAAGAAGCAGAACAACTAGCTTCGAATCTGACCTAAACAGCTTTATCAGAAGAAATACATACTGTATATTATCGAATAGAAGCTATTAAAATTTTGTGTTTTTTTGGATTAAAAAGAGAGAGTAGCTTCTATTTGGGTCTAACTTTATTATTAAATATAATAACTTACTCCAAATTTTTAATTCACAATCAAGGAGTAGCTTTTATTCAGAAATAGCTTCTATTTGGTAATATACAGTAACTATTTTGATAAAACACAACTTAAGAAAACTTTGTGAAATTTATTAGAAAAAGAAGAAGCAAAACAAGAATTAGTATACTTAAAGGATTAATCAAAGAAAAGTTACAAAAAGAATTCTTGAAGTAATAGGAAGTTTCAAAGACTTCAGAAATTATTTAAAATTTTTGATTATTATTAATATAGAGCTATGTAGTAAATTAGTTAATATAGATAGCAATATAAGACTACTGTTAAAATCTATACTAAAATGATTACAAAACATAAATATATATATAACAAATAATATAAATAGTATACTAAGTTGGTGGCTTGAGAGAATAGCTATTTAATTGAAGTGTATAATTAAAATTGTAAATATTATAAGGTTTAAAAATAAGAAAATTTGAAGTAAAATAACTATAGACTAGCTGATTAGCAAGGTTATTAAACTAGTCTTTTTAATGTATAGTAACTTTATAAAAAAATAATTTTAAGATTCTATAATTAAACAAAATTGATAAGAGTATATCAAAGCATAGAATATGAAGAGTTTGTAATAGACAGAGTATAATATGATTTTTCTAAACTGTTATATTTAAAAATAACAAATTGCAAATCTGTAAAAATATAAATAATACAGATATAGATGCTATATAAAAAGTAATTTTAGAAAGTTGAGTATTAAAATTTGCAATAATATAAAGAGTATTAGTAAGAAATCCAGATTTAAATATAGGTAGAATTAAAGCAAAATTATAAAGAATACTAAAAATAGATAAAATATGAAGAAAGTAACAAATAGTAATAGAATATATTAAATCTAAATAGTTAGTATAAAGTTAGAATAAAATTATTTAGAATATAAAGTAAAAATTAATTATTAAAATTTTGAAAATAATAACATTTTGGTTATAACTAATTTTTATACATAGTAATATCATCTAATATTATAAAATTTTTATTAAAAAGAAAATAATTTAAGGTTAGAATCTAGTTAGAGTTAGGGTTAGCCTTGGGTTGAAGCAATAAAACTTAAATATATTAGGATTAAGTCAATAAAAATCAAGCAAATTTTTTCTAAGTAATTTTTTTTTAAACTTTAAACAATAATAACTCAACAAATCTTAATCAAATTTAATAAAATTTTTTTTAAATAAATTCTACAAACTTATAGAATTTGGTTAAGAAAATTTTTATTAAATATGATCAAGTTTTGGTTAAGTTATTGGTATATAAAGTTTTAAAAAAATTCAATAAAAACAATTTGCTTGATTTTTATTAACTTACCCCATATATAAAATTTGATGCTAAAAATTTTGCTTAGAAGTCAAAGCATGATTTTCATAACAAAATTTTGAGTTATTAAAGTTTTTTTTTTATTTTTCTTTTCTTACTTTGTTTTGGTTATACAAGATCCAGAGATTTTATGCAACTGGGTAACATCACCTAGAGTAAAAATTAGCAACACTAAGGCTCGTGACAATTTACTGAATAAAGCATTTCAAATTGATTTTAGACATATATCATTAACATTAAGGCTATGTATCAGGCTTTATATATAAACTAGAACTTCAAATAAGGATCCAATTTTTAAAATAATTGGGTTATGGATAAAGGTCAAATTCCAGAATCGAGTTTCCTACAATTAATTTCGAGTCTATTCTTGCTGAACTTTTGTCTTTTTGGATCTTGCATACATGGATAACTTCTTGTTATTAACTGTAGAGGTGCAAGAATACTTGTTTAAAATAGATAATAGCTTTAATAATCTATAAATTTAAGCCCATCTTAACATAAACGATAACATACCAGTTCTCGTTTAATGTGCCAAAAATTAGCAACTAACTTATTTCTTGCATTTGAAGTAGTGACACCCAAATTTTTTAAATCTTCTTTAGTCATCTCTATGATTTCATACCATTCCTTACCTTCAAACAAATTCGAAATATGTGCCAATTTTATGCCATTTAACCATGCTGGGAAATCTTTTCGATGTTTTTAAAAAATTAAAATTGTGAACCTCTAAAACGGACTTCCACAAATTAAAGTATAACGCACCTTCTAATAACTTAAAATTAACATCAACATAATTTTCTTTATAAAACTGTAAATATTTTAGTTTTTTTTCTTTCTCGAAATTTTTTTTCTCGATATTATTTGGAAGTTCGATTTTTTGTCCAGCCTAACCATCAAAATTTCAATTAACGAATTACAATCCAAATAATCAAATATTATATCAAAATAAACTCACAAGCTGCCGCCTGACAATCAAAAAATTTCTTATTAATGTTGCTCTATTCCGAAATGATAAAACACCTAATTGTTCTAAATCTTTATAATTCATTTTTATGATTTCTTGCCATTTTTTTCCTCTGAATAAATGTGATAAATATCCTAATCCAAGTCCTCCAAGCCATATAGGAAAATCTTCAATCATAAAGATAACAGATCAATTACAACTAGTTGTACGTATTGCTGTTTTTATGTCCTACTAAACTCAAACGCACCTTCTAATAATTTATAATTAATTTTATTTATATAATTTTCCCTATAAAATTTCTCTCTGCGATCCTCTTTCACTATTACGTCTTCATTTTTATTAAGATGGCGGGTGAATTTAGAATAGTTTCTAATAAATACTGCAAAGACTCTCATTTTTTAAAAGGACTTATGGTTGAAATTGAGTTTGCATTATTCGATCACTCATTTGCGCCAAATATATATATGTAAATTGCCATATAAAACACAGGCCGAAATTAAACACCATACCATACTGATCAGCTATAATTCCTAACCCTAACGCTAATATATATAACATCAGATCAGTAACCCATTTGGATTAGACAATTATGTTGATATGTGCGAGGGTTGATAACAGCGGGATAGTTTTTATATAGCCTAAGCTTATTTTTTCTTAATAAGAAGTTGATATTAACGGGGCTGATAATAACGGGGTAGCCTGTAATAACCTCGGATATAGTACATAGTTGAGATTATATCATTAAAAGAAAAAATTTTAAATATATATTTTTCAATTCTAACAGACAGTCCACACAGGTAAAATGATATCTAATAGGGTGCCGATAGATATCCCTGTTGCTGTCAGATTTTTCTCCAAAAGAAGCCAAGAGGGCATCAATAGATATCAATCAGAATAATATTATTTTAATTGACTCCTATTGACATCTTTTTTGAAGCCAAAATCTGGCAGTATATGGATGTCTATTGGTACTCTATTAGATTCATATTATTTACTTTTGTTAAATATAGATTCATATTTTAATATAGGTTAAATCGTACCAGTGGTGTTCAACACCACAGTTGCTATGTCTCAAAAACGTACCCGATAACACACTGGGGTGTCCATGAGTGCTCGAGAGGAAGTAAAATTTGGACCCTAAAAAAATTAGGGGAAATTACAGATAAGGGCCCAAAAACGAAAATAATTACAAATAAGGGCACAAAATGAAAATAATTACAGATGAAGGCCCAATATTTAAAATTATTACAAATAAGGGCCCAACTATACCGTCGAATTTACTAGCCGATTTAAATGTAGTGGTAACATGATTAATTTCTTCATTTCGTGATTAAATAAATGTTTTAGAGTTATAGCTCATTATTCAGAATTAAAAAACAAAATCCAACCGACTGACAGATTTTTGAAATCCTGCAATGCAAAACGAAAAATTAACTATATGTGGCCTAATAGCTTTACTTCTCCAAGCTACAATGTATGATGTTTCAGCCCACTTCAGAACGAACACGATTTATAATATCACGAGGTAGAAGTTATATCTTTAACTAATGCTTTACAAGGTACGATCCATGCACTTTGAATGTTCCATAGAAGTTAAACAAGTTGGATCATGAGGAATCAGCCTTACTATATCGATATGAATATATCCATCTTAGCACTTGTTAACTGAAATAGTAAAAGGGCGTGAACTGGTTTTATTTGTAAAAAATAGCCAACAGATTATTTTGTTTGTTCGTTCTGAACCTGTAAAAAGAAAATACTGTCCAAGACCGAATGAGCATTTTCATGGTAGTAAAATTCATACCGATCGGTAATTTTATATTTGAAATGGTGCTTGTATCAGGAGAAACCGTCGCAACATATAAAAAAATTATTTTACAATACCAGATCATTCGATATGGTATTGTAAAATAATTTTTATATGTTGCACACCGTGTGAAGGATCAGTCGGGTAACATCGTTATAAGGATTATTATTACATTTCTTATGCGTTAACAATTAATGACTATATTACAATCATATTAAAATCATCGAAACGGAGCTTATATCTTAGGTTCCTATTATTTTGGGCCCTTATTTGTAATAATTTTCAAATATCAGGTCTCTATCTGTAATTATTTTCATTTTGGGCCCTTATTTGTAATTATTTCCATTTCTGGCCCTTATCTGTAATTTCCCCAAAAAATTATCGGCATTTTGATAATTTCAGTAATAAATTATTGTATATTACTGAAATTATCAAAATTCTGATCATAATTTTTTAGGGTCCAAATTTTTACTTACTCTCGAGCACTCAAGATTAATTTTTTGGATCTGCACGCTATATTAAATAATTATAAAATTCTAATTTACTACGCCTTTAATTCCTCCTGGAATATTTAACATTTTTTAATTCTATAAAAGAAAAATGGTTTAAATAAGGCATCTTTATATCGTAACAATGTCAGAATTTTATTTTACTAATTAATGGGTTAAAATCCGGCCAACGATTTACTATGTGGCCTGCATTAGATAAACACTGATTAAACATAATGCAGGCAACATAGTAAATCGTTGGCCGGATTTTAACCCATAATATATTTAATTAGTAAAATAAATTCTGACTTTGTTACGATATAATTATGCCTTATTTAAACCATTTTTCTTTTATAGAATTAAAAAATGTTAAATATTCCGGGTAGATTTTTTTATAATTATTTAATATAGCGTGCAGATCCAAAAAATTTACTATAAAAAATCTTCATTAGTGATTATCACTATATCATCTGCACCGATGATTGACACCTCAACAACACGCGTCAGAGGTATTAAGCAGAAATATTTAGCACTCTCAAAAGCCTTACCTTAACTGAAACTTGATCTATATCTTTACTATAATATAGGTTCTCTAATTCTAAATTTTATTAGCAAAATTATTAAAAAATATATTTAGTGTTGAACATTACTAGTGTGATTTAGTAAAACTAATATGTTATAATTTAATGTTAAAAGAGGTTTAAACTTGTTATATTAACTATATACTGTATTAGTTAATTGATTCCAAAATTAGATTTTGTTTAATTAAATTAATTTTTTATTATAAGGTTATATAAATTTTTTTTGGGTTTATAATATATATAGAACTTTTTAAACAAACACAGTTAGCTGACTTTTTTTAAAAAATTATATATATAAAAATTTGGAAATATTATTATAGTGCTATAGTACCACAGCACTACCCTTATATAATCTGTTTGTTAAATAAAATAATCTTAATATAGATAATATAGTACCATAATGTTACCCTTATGTAATTAATTAAATAAACTTTTACAAAAAAAAGTTAATATTTAACTTTTTATTTGATTGCTTTACAGTTGATTTTTTTGTTTACACCTGATTTTCGGCATTCTATCCTATTCATATTTGACTTTATTTAATCATTTTACACAGTTAATTTTTTTTACTTACATTTGATTTTTGTCGTTTTATCCTATTTGATCGTTTTACACAGTTGTTTTTTTGCTTACATCTGATTTTCATCATATTTGATTATTTTACACAGTTGATTTTTTTGTCTATATCTAATTTTTCATCATTCTATTCTATTTTCACTTGATTGTTTTACACAGTTGATTTTTTTGCTTACACCTAATTTTTGTCACTCTATTTTATTCATACTTAAATTTATTTAATCATTTTATACCAATTCATTTGTTATTTTGCTTGCAGTTGATTTTTATCGGATTACCCTATTTACTTCAATCACACTTAACTTATATTTGTTTTGCTACTTTACTTTACACTTGGTTTTCTATTGTGATACACTATTTATCTTTTTATTCAATTTGATTTGTTTTACTATTTTGCTCATACTTGGTTTTTTGTTGTGTTGCTTTATTTATCTTACTCACACTCAGCTTTTGTCTTATTACCTTATCTACATTTGATCTTTGCACTATTATATTTAAGCAATAGATAAATTTAATGAATTTGCTATTAGTAATAATGCACTATATAGATCTGCTAGCACTAGTGCATTCACATCATACAATAATATCCAAGATGATTTTGTTATTAATAACATCCTATACAATTATCCAAATGAATTTGATGTCAATAATTTCTTGTATAATACTAATCAAACTAAATATGAAAATGATAATATAATGAATTGTGAAGATACTCAGCATAAGAATATGATAGCAGATGACAACTTTTAGTTGATAAATGAAGATTTTTAAAGTGAAAAATTATGAATGAATATAATATTCTATAGCTAGGACTACATGATGAACGAAATCGAAAAGTATGGAAAGAAACAGAGATTTAAGATGCATTGCTATTGTATTGAAAAGAATAATGACTGTATCTAGAGACATATGTTGGTGTGTAAATATTATGGAAAATCTAAGGCTACAAAATGCAAGGACCCGAAGAAGAAAACTATTTCTAAATATATTGGATGTAAATAGCAAATAAATCTAAAAAAATAACTCTTATAAAATCGTATACATTACAAAGTTAGTTGATAAATATATGAATCATGATTTTGATTGTAAGTGTTTTGATTTTAAGGAAAATTTGGAGTTTACTATGAATATGATTAAGGATGTTGAATTTTATATGACAAAGATGAATTGTAGCCCCCAACAAATATGCAAAGCTCTGGAAGAAATTTATTCTTTAAAAGTTTACATACCTGGTTGCATCAGGTAATTCAATGATTTCACTCTAAAAAAATGATCAAACAAATAATGTTAGCTATTTGTACAAAAAATTGTTAAAAAAAAAAAACTGATCCATGATGATATGTTGAAGTAAACTGTGACTCTTATAGTAAATATCTTCACTGATTATTTTATATATCTCCTGAATAAATTAAATAGTGATTGAAGTTTGAAGATATTATAATAAACAATAATACTGCTGCTACAAATTATTATGAAATGGCATTTCACTTTTTTAGTAGTCGACAACTATTTATTTTCTCATTTGATAGCTCAAACTTTAACTGATGTAAAACAAAGGAGGTACACATCTAGATATTGCAACAAATTAAAAAAGCAACTTTTGAAGCTACTCCTTATGTTATCTTTACTGACATTGACTCTGCTTTAATTACCATAATATGAAATGAGTTTCTAACAACACATGCTCTCCATTATATGTTTCATATTGCACAGAATCTTCTTCTC